TCTACAATGTTTGGTACAGATATCTTTTAGTGGATGATTCCATTACATTGGAGACAAGGCAACAATTAAATGGACAAATCTATTTCAGGATATTAAATATTTGACCAACCAAAAAGCAAACATTTTAATTTGGAATAAGAATCAAACTTTGGTCAAGACAGTTCAAACATATAGTGCTGAATCTCAAATGCCAGATTCACTAAAATTGGAAGTTCTAGCTCATATTAATCGAGTCATTACAAATACTTCATTACTCTATTTACACAAGAATGATATTGTTCCATCTTTGAATACTACTCATGGTGTAGCTTATCCATTTTGGTTAGCAATTACAAAGAGAGGATTAATTAGTAGTGTGAATGGATCTGTTTCTTCCCCACAAGTTTTGACAGATGTAAATCTGTATAATGAAGTGATTGGGTTGAATAGAGCAGTTCTGGATGAGTTGGCATTGGATTTGAGAGTTAAAAAATCACTTAATTCATATTATCCAAGAACAGTTGACATGAGAAATAATGTGTTTGTCAATTCACCAATTCAGAAACCAACTTTGAGTTATTCATTGACACCTTATTGGAATATTGATCATAATTATGTCATGACTGATATTAGTGTTGTGAAGTATTGGCAATATATTGATTGGCCAAGTGTGATGGATGTCAAGAAGAATGTGTACGAAACTAGTAAGAATAATTTGGCTTACTATTTCAATAATGCTCTTGCCAGTGATTTTACACTTCGTTGTAATGTAACAAATGGAATTACCCTGATTGATAAGGGTGTGAAAATTGACGGTATTTCATATAATGGTTTAACGAATGATATTGGTGCATTTGAGAGTAATTGCAGTTCTTCAAATTCAATTACAACAACAGCTGTTGGTGTTAACAATTTGGCAAATCAAGTACTTATTCAAGATAAGTCAAGTAATTCTAATATCATTGTTTTCAGCAATTTGATGCTTGTTATGGTGATCAGCTTAATGATTTGCAACATCATTTAAAAAATAAATTCAATTTTATTAAGATAAATTGAAAAACTGAAAAAAAAATGAGTTATTCGGTTGAAGAAGTAAAAACATGGACCTCGCACCAACTTTTCACCAAACTTTCCGCTAACACTGGCTTGTCGGAAACTATTTTGCAACCATTCCTTGAACATGATTTCAATGGTAATTCTCTTGTAAGTGTCTTAATAGATGAAAAGAGCACTGTGGATACGGTTACTATGGCTATGATTAACAGATTTTTAGAATCAAAGAATGCTGGGAATATAAGCCTTGAGTTTGCTATTACTTGCCGTACTGTTGCTAATTGGGCATTCAATAACATTAGAGATGAAGTCAATGTCATTAAATCGTATTCAGAATTGTCGATAATGGAAAAGCTGAAACAACAAATGAAAGGCTTGACTGACGATGCCAAATTATCATGGTACCAAACATTAGAGAAACTAATACAAGGACAATCTTGTGAAAGCATGGATAGGAAAGAAGATGTGAATAATCTTTTCAACACAGCATTTACCCTCTTTTATTCTGGAAAACGCAAAAAGGATTACCTAAACATTGAACAAGTGAAACAAGATTGTCCACTCGAAACTATTGATAAAGAAAAGGTAACCTTTAAGAATCAGATTGTCATGGAACAAAATCCCTCCCCTTTGTCCCTTAAAGATGTAAAGGTTCCCTTATTGATGATCCAAAAGAGTACACTTGTAAAAGAGATACTTCCTTTCATTCCAAATTTTCAAGTGGATTTACAAGATGATAGTGAGCGTATAGAATTGAATAACCACATAATCAGGGGTGATACTGTTTCCCTGATTGCACCTTCTGGCACTGGGAAAACAGCATTGGTAAGTACAATTTTAACTTTTGGATATATATGGTAAGATATCAAGAAGATTAGGTGTTAATCTTGGGGTCCTGTTCACTTGCTGTAGAGATGACACAACAAATTTTCGAGGAACAGATTATTGTTCCTTGAATTTGAACAATAGGATTGAGGATACACAAACTGCATTGGAATTATTTGCAACTGCAAGACAATTAGTGCACTGCAACCTGATTGCAAGACTTATCTATTTGGATTTATGTGTAGATATGTGGAAAGATCTTGAACACAAACCATTCAAGCAATGCAAACAGTTTTTAGCATATGCTCAATATACTGGCAACACCAAAGCTGCAAATAGAATATTTAACTATCTCATAAAGAACAGATGGGTAGAGTATGATATTGAAGAATTGAGAAATTGTACTTCCTCCTTGGTCAATAATCTGATTCAAAAATTGGGTGCAAGTACTGAGCCTTTTATATTTGCATTTGATGAAGCAAATGTGTTTTCTATTAAGGAAACTTTTTTACTCTCCAAAAATGGCACTTTGCGAGATATTCTTACACTGTTACACTCTGAGATTAGCATAATAAGAGGTAGAATATCTACACCAGTTTGTGATATTTATTGTGGTACTTGTTTTACGGCTGATGTGATAGACATAGTCCAGTCCAATAATGGAAAACATCAGGATATCACCAATAACATATTTTCTTTTTTTGGTTTAGATTCCATATCAGCAACAACAGCAAAGAATATGATTGGGTTAATGCACGATACTAATTATCTGAAAAATTTGTTTGATAAGGAAGATGAAAAGATAATTTTTCCAACAAGGAGAAGAGTTATTGGACTTGTCTGTGAAAAATTGACAACCAATTTCAAAAATCAACCATATTCAGAGTTTAAAAAATTAATTGCATATCCATTCAAATCTATGAAGATCTCTCCCCTTAAACTTTGCTGGATAGAGTTTACCAATAGCATTACAGAAACTGTATTGGCTCATATCAAAAACAAAAAGATTTCTCTAAATATATTACAGGAAATGTTTATCAGAGCTACGAACACCCATATTTTCTCAACCTCACTTATTCATGGGAGAGAGAGTATGGCAGCAACTCTTGTTGGATCTGGACTTGCCACACCAAAGGGAATTTATGGAGACTATTTCTTTGATTGTTCAGATACAATAACTAAACAAGTTTGCACAAATATTATGATGAAGAAATTTCCCCAAACTTATGAAGATTGTACTACACCAATGAAAGTATTGAGATTCCTTCTTTCCTGTGAAGATTTACAAGATGCTAAATATTGGAAAACAATATTTGCTCTAATACTACAGCACTACAATAGTAAGCCAATTCAAGATGTACCTTTTCTAAAAGTTAAAGGTGCCACACTTTTCCGAGCAACATGTCAGATGGATGCATTAGAGTTTTACACCCATTACTCTAAAAGTACTTGGGCTACAGAAGCATTGGATGTATTGAATTCTATAATTGGCAAATATACTAAGCCATGTACTGGTGTTGATGAACCCGATTTCACACAACGTGGTGACTTTTTGTATTGGTATTGTATCAGTAAATTAAGCGATAAAACCCAGGGAGAATACTTTAGACAAATTGTGGATGGATTGATTTATTTCCCAACCAACTTGTGTCATCCTGATTTGATCTTACTCAACAATAACACACTGTATCTAACCAGCAGCAAGCTTCACAACTGTTCACAAGAAGCTTACTCAAAGTCAGTGCTTAAAAGAAAATCATTATTGGATCGCAAATTTTTTTATATCAACAACTTTACAAAGGCCACTACAGTATGGTGGAAAACTTTCAAGCCGAAACTCCAGAATTTTTTTGAGAATTGTAGATTTTGTAAAATTTTTGCACACTTTAATGTTGAACTGGATAAACTAAACACTGAAAAAACAACAAACAATTTTCCAAATAGTAATACAGAACTTGTTCAACAAGGATTAATATCTTTAGAAAAAGATACACAATTTAATTTCATCCATCTGTCAAATTTACCTGTTCTAGTAGGGCATGAAAATTATTTGTTATTGGTGAAATACTTTGAGAGAATTAAATTTGATGAAAGGAAGGAAGAGGTGAAAGTAAACAGTAAGAAGGTAAACACTATTGTAAAACGAAAGCAAGAACCTCCAAATAATGTCAATAAGAAGAAAAAGATGGTGCCCTCAAATAAATAAAATCAAGATTTAGTCAACTTAATAAAATTTTAAAAGACATTAATTAAAAGTTATTTTTTACCAAATAAAGAAAGTAAAATGCAACCAGGTATTAAGAAAACTAGAGCACTAACAAAGAATTGTAAAATTGCCTTCCATCCTCTCAATTCCTTAAAGAATAAAAGTCCACAAATACCAGCAACAACCAAACTTGCCTGTGTCAATGGCAATCCAATAGTAAATCCAAGACTTGACATGGACACGTAGGTGGCCATAACATTACCAACTTGCCATAAACAAGCAGTAATGCATGGGAAAACTGCAACCTTTGGATGGAATGGTAAGACAACTCTATATCTGATAATATAATAAATATAGTAAATGACAAGAATGGCAGATGTAATACCTGCAGATCCAAATCCAAATCCAACCACGTAAACTACACCAGGTTTTTCTTCAAATCTAGATGGAACAAATTGAGAACCTCCCAAAACACCAACTCCAACCGAGCATGCAAGACCTAGAATGTAATTTTTGGATGATTTCAAAATGGAAACAATTTTTTCCTTTCTTGAGAGTGGTTGAGTTGGATATTCTTCCTCTTCTTGTGTTGTTTCAATAGTTTGCTCAACAGCTTGTTCATTATTTTGAACTTCTGGATTGAAAGTATTTGGTGCTTCTGGATTTTCCTCATTTCCATCATAATGTGTAACTGTTTCATTGACAAGTGACTTGGTTTCAGTTGAGCTAGCTGGCAATAGTTCAGGTAAATTCCATTTAGAACAAGTTGCAATACCAACAATTCCTACAACCATCAAAATTAAAGCTAAAGCTGTCAAGTAAGGATTTCCAATTTCAGAATGGAAAAGAGCAACACCCCAAGTGAAACTTGTAATAATATTGACACCACTCCAAACACCTTGAGCAACACCCAATCCAAGTAAATGAATGGCTATTAAACTTAATAAAGAAGCAGGTACCCACACAGCAGCTCCTAAAATTTGAAATAATTTGAAATTGTGCATTGTGTGAAAATTGTAAAAATGAAATTGTAAAAATTTCAAGTCATTCCACTATGCAAACAAAAATAACTTACCCAAAATTCCCCAAAATGAGAAATACCACTCATTCCAAATCAAAACAATGAAAGAAGTTATCAAAACCATTGATGAAAAGTAAAATTGAAAAACGATTGGATTCATATTTGCTTCCTTGATCCATTTGACTTTTAATGGAAGACCAAAAGTACCCCTACATTGAATTTCAATGATCATTAACACATTGTCAAAACCAATAATTGAATTTGTCAACAAATTATGCAATTATTCACAAATGTCGAATATTATAATCGGATTCAAAGATTTTTTGTTGTTGTTGAACTTTTATCAACCGAAATAATAAAACATACCATGCAATAATACTATTGTAAGTATATCAAAGTTACCAAATATTCATCAGTAAAAACATTTCGGAAATTAATTTTTCATCAAACAATTGTGAAAATCCACAATTTTCATCAAGACCAACAACAATTTTAAAATCACACACAAAACAACACAACAATAAACTACTTACCAAGCAACAACACCAACCCATCCCAACCAATCAGGCACTTGTCCATCGGTCGGTGATGTTCCATTCGTATTATTGTTGGTGTCATTCTGCAGGAGTGCAAAGAATGGAGCACCCTCTTGCATGGCCCACATTGGAATTTGCTTGAGAATTGCTTGTGGGAAGGTTCCTTCAAAAATTGATGATGACATTTGTTGATTCTTCTTCGTTCTCTCTCTACTAGCAAGTTGTTTTTTTTTGATTTGTTGATTTGCTGATGATTGTTTTCACACATGAAGATACAAAGTCTGCGGTGTTATGTTATTGAATTGAGCGGAGTTGGAAAGTAAGAACAAAGTTCTGCAACTCCTGTTAAAATCAAATAATTGATTTTATTCTAAAATTGTTTTCTTGTACATTTTCAATTCATGATCTATTCTTTTAATAGCAGCTTTATCAGAAAATATCGTTGTGATATCTGCTTGAGATGGAATGTCTTTAGTGGTTGATTGGACTAGTTGAACTTCTTTTTGAATTGCTGAGAAGAGCTTGTCAGCAAATTGAGGGTCAGGATTCTTAATTGGGGTGTCCTTATTTCTATAATCACAGAACATCTTGACAAAATCATTTGCATTTGCATTGATGGAAGACAATTTTCCATCAAGAATTTTCTTTGCAAATTCCAATTCCAAAGCTGTCACTGTTTGAGATTCCTTGTAAGATGCCAAAATACTGGCAATGTTGAAAAGAGCTCCAAATCTATGATTCATAACCAATGAAATGCTATTGAGAGCTGCAATGGTGATTTTCAATCCATTGAATTCCTCATCACTGGTGAGATACTGTTTAGCACGTGCTGTCATTTCACTTCTTGAAATTGGATTCTTTTTTCCAACAATAAAGGTCAATAATTTGGCATTAACAGCACTGATTTTGGCTTCTTCACTCAGAGAAAGGAATTTTCTTTGTTTCTTTGGTTTTTTTTCTGCAAGTGCTTTCACCAATTTGGTTTGTTTGGCAATATTTGCTAATGTCTTGTTGGAGAGTCTTTTGCTTGATCTTGTTGTTCTTTGCTCTTCATAGTCAGAGTCTTGTACATCACTATCGGAGAGTTCTTGATGCTTTGATGACTTTTTGCTTTTTTGTTTGGCTGGCATGATGTTGTTGTTGTTATTTACTAATTTACAATTGGATATTGACTATCGGAATATAATCTTATGATTATTGTATGTGTACTATTGTTACAGGTTCTTTGCTAATAATATTATTAACGAATATATTAATTCTGATCAATTTGTTATTAATATCAGTGTAGATGTTTTTTTTAATGTTTGCTTTTGAAGGGATTTAAGTTCGAGTGATGGTTGGAATGGAAATTTGTTTGAAACGAAATTACTTGTTTTCAAAAGCAAAAGAGTTATTTATACAGGAAAACCTGCGTTTGTGCAGAACTGTAGACAAGATATTATGTTCCTTCCCATGCACGATCAAATTGAACTATACCATTCAACGTTCTTTGCAAATATATTTACAAGTGATTTTATTGGATTTCGCATTTGGAGATGAGACCAGCACTTTGTTTGTCTTTTTCATTGTCCATATGTTGTTGAATGAAACCCTCTGCTCTTGTCACTGCTTTCTGTAATAAATCGAGAGCCATGCTTTCAATGCTAACATTCTTTTGATCCCATTCTGTATAGTTTTGAATTGCATGAACATCTGTATATTCCAATTCAAACATTTGCACCAGTTGAGTCTTTTTAGTATCGTACAAATGAGTTGCTGCATATAAGTCTCCACTTCCATGAGCATCAATTTTTGTGACAGCAAATAATGGTTTGTATCCATATTCCAAGAATAAATTTACAAAATCCTCCAATTCACTTGGTACATTCCTTTGATTTGCAGGAACGACAAATATCACAGCATGAGGAATATCCTGAACAGTAGTATTATTTACAAGACAATCTGGATCTAGAATTGCAGCAGGATTTCTACTCAACATTGAAAATAAATAGTCCCATAGAGACCAACTCGCCTTTTGTTTCACTTCTACATCATCTCCTATTTTACCATCCCTCATAGCTCTTACTTGTTCCAATTCTAATTTCAAGAAGGTTTCCAATCCCCTTGTATCATGAGCAAATATTGATTTTGGTAAATTGACAGCATAACCTTTCTTTTTCTTTGTAAACGCTGATGCACGATTTTCTCCAATTACTGCTATTGGTGCTTCACCATAATTTTCATGAAGGGAACGATGAAATGTACTAATCAAACTACTCTTTCCTGCTCCTTTTTCTCCAATCAACAAAATATTTAAATGTGATACGTTCGGAATAATGTCATTATTCACTGTATATTCATTCAATTGTTTTTGTCTAAATTTTAAATTATTATAATGTGATATTTGACTAAATTCTGTACTTGTACTATTGTCTGTACTCGACCGATCAGAAGATTTTCTTGGAGTTGTTTTTCTCCTATCCAAATCATTTCCATTGTTATTGTTGTTATTATTGTTACTACTACTTCCACTGCTACTACTTTGCTTTTCACGAGAATAGAATGGATGGTTCACCATATAATTATTATCATCATCAGCATCACTGTATCGATTCGATGACGTTGTTTTGGGGCTTAAATCGGAAGATTGAACTTTTTTCATTTTTTCGTATGGAAATCATAAGGAGAATTTATTATTGGATTGATGACTGACTATTTGATTGCAATCAAGTATGTTCTACTATTAATTGTTAGATTCTCAGCAATTGGTTCTCTTTCCATTTGTCTTGGCCTCTTCTCTTCATCACAATAAAATTTAATCATAAATATTGATGAATTTTTTAATAAAAATAAAAAACGCTAAAAAATATTTCTCAACCATAACACGAGGTAATTTCCCAAGCACAACTATTCTGAAGCCTGTGTTTGCCTCTATCATAATGTGGAACAATTGATACATTAACTTGTATCGCCATGATGAAACTGGAACGGGTAGCGAACCTTCCATTTCCACAGACAACTCGGAGGCATTTGATCTGCCTATGTATGACGATTCCTAGTTCCGTCCAAAGATGGCTGAACCTTCTCTCGCTAAGAAACTTAACTTTTTTTTAATACAACCACAATTAAGCCGAGAATTTGATGCATGTTTCCAGTCTTCTTATCAGTGCTTTGGTTCATGCTTGGGACAAACAGGTCGCAAAGATTCAGTTCTTTGAGAATTTTTTGTTGCAGAGGAGCTTTGGGAAACTAAAGCATACTCTTAATATGAGCTAATTGAAGTAATATTGACTTTAATATTATTAATTTTCAAACAGATGCCCAACTATTTTCCTGCCCAGGCATGTTGTGTACAGCCTACAGTAATTTGTACATGGTCATTTCAGCATATTCTGCAATTAGAATTGGAACGGATTTGTCTCCGTTGGTGTCCAGAAAATCTTTCAATGGATTCAATGGTTTGATTATGATCCTTGACAGCTTGTTGTAATCTTTGATAATTTTTGGAACATTTCGAGTGCAGTTTCGTTTCAACTTTCTCAATATTCAATGGCATCATCCCATCATCACACTCGTACAATTCCATAGGCACATGAACTGGTACTCCACTTATTAAAGATCCATTCAATCTTTTCAGCTCTTCCAAAGCATGTTCCCTAAAATCCGAATAATAATTTGCAAATATTTCATCCGACCTCAATATCTGCTGATGTAAAGCTTTGCTAATGAGAAGAAGAGTTGAAAATTCCTTCCTTGGAACAAATGAACATATGTGTACTTGAATTTCCATTGGAATACCTTCAAATTCACTGAGTGGTGATCGTTGGTTAGTTAATGGTTCTGACACCTCGTTGCCCATTTTTTTTTGTAAAATAACTTGGAAAATATTGAACACAGTTAAAAAATTGGTGGGAGAGGCATTACTTCTACATGAGCGAACATTTTTGATTTGATTTTTGAAATTCTCGAATTATTGACGAATCCTTTTCAATTACAATTTGTAAAATTTCAGTACCGCAACTAAATTTCCTCATAAATCTTGGTTACACTTTCTCTTTTTTTAGCACTTGTTTCTAATATTGATGTGTTAAGGAGAGAAAATTCTTCGATAATTGAGAAAATTTCCTTTCTATAATTTTCGATAACTTCCTTTCCTTTTATTTCTTCCAATAAATCAGTCTTATTAATGACAAATAACATGGGGAAATCATTTAGCAATCTATCTTTAATCTTCGTAATATAACCAACTCGTTCTCTAAGTGATTTTACTGTTTGAAAATCTCCCACCGAACAAACACCAATGAAACAATTTCCAAATTTAGTATACTTATTTTTAAATGCATCAAAATCTTGAGGTCCAGCTATCCAAATTTCACAATAATTTAAAAATTCAACTCTAACATCCATTGAAACACGTACCAGTATCTAAAACTTCCAACATTATCGATTTCCCATCCACCATAACTTGTTTACAATAATAATCTTCAATTGTTGGATAACTTTTAAAATTTCATTTAAAAAATAGATAATTTCAAATAACCTACTTATCCACAAACCATCCCAATACAATGCTTACGATCAGACATGATTTTCCAACTGTACTATCTCCAAACATGGTCATTCGAATTTCTTTAATTCTTTCCTTTGCATTTTGAAAACATTTTTCATAAGTTGAGTTTTGACATATTTTGTTAGAATGATCTTTCTTCTCAATTCTCCATTCATGATTAATGTTTTTTTAATTTCTTGTAAAGTTTCGAATGATTTTCTATCAATTCCACCATATGCTTCGTATACTTTCCACCAAAATTCATTAAAATAATCTTCCATTTCCTTTGCATTGAAAATTCTTTTTGAAATTGTTTGAAAGTTTGCAATTACAATTATTATTTTCCATAGTTGGAGGAATATATGAAGGACTCATATTGATTAATTTTAATTTCATTGACAATAAGAGAAATTTCACCTCCGAAATTGATCCTTCAAAAATCTATGAACTTTAAAAAACTTGAAAAACAAAAAACAATTTAAAAAACTAATTAAAAAAAAATGTCCAAATCCATCCAACACAAATTAATGATCGGTGAATTGACTTCAATATTCGAGTCGATATTTGGATCAACCTCAGGAGGGCATCATGGACATGGAAATAAACAAAATAATCGGAAGCAAGTTGAATTGGAATTTGAAACATATGGTGATGAGGGAAGTATTCAAGTAAGATTTGAAAAGATGAAGGGAGGAAAGACGGAGAAACGATACAAGTTGATTATTAATTATCCAGTTGAACGAATTGGAGAATTTAAATTGACCATTAACAAGTATTGTATAGAGAAGAAGCAATTAATTATTTTGATTGAGGATTTTAATTTGGATAAGAGTGTTTCATTGTTTGTTGGAAAGGCAACAGAGAGTAAGATCTACATGATTCGATTAGGGGATGAATTGTTACACCTATCGATTGCAAAAGTAGTTGAGAAATTGTTTGTTCCGAGAGCTATTGATAAGAGTGTTACCAGTGAGGGATGTATAGTGTATAATCCTAATATCTTCTTTGTGGATGAACCTTCTTTGAGTATGAAAACAACTTGTGATACTGCCATGGGAATGTTTGATCCAAAGGAAAAATATTCGAATACTGACCCAGTTATCCATCAAGTTCAAATTCGATACAGAGAATTTCATCAAATTTGGGTGAAGGGATTTGTCTTCACCACAGGCTTTTCACCAGTTGTTCCAATTTTGGACGGTCGTAACAATGATACTTATGAAGAAGCTTCTTGTGGTTATTGTTTTAAGAATGGCCTGTACAAGACTAAACGAAATGAAGGATATGAAAACTTTGATTGCTATGAGTTTGAGGAATGTGTAGAGTTCAATAAGGGACATTTGAGAAATTATAATTTCCAGAAAGGAATTTTATTAGAATTTATCTATGTGAGAGGAAAGGTGAAAAAAGGATCAAAGAGTATCTGTACATTAACAAATTGGAAGAGATTGTGCATTAAGGGTAAAAATCCATATTGGATTTCAAAATATACACTTACCAAGTGATTCTCAAAATATTTAAAGTATGACTTTGATGTGGTGAAGAGAATGATGTATCAAGCTCTTATGAAATTTACAAAATCACATTGGAAATAAATTGAATTATTTAATGTATCACACATTAAGCATTTGTTGTTGCCATTGCCCACGCCTCAATGCATGCATTAGGGAAATAATTACTAACATTAATCACATTGTTTGGATGAGCATTTGGGGCTCCCAAAACTGGATCAAGCTTTGGGTTCCATTGTTGCATTTCAATATTTCTGTAATAAAACTTCCAATTACGATCTGCACATGCCACTTGAACAATCACATTTCTATTACAAATGTTCACAAGTTGAACAGGGTATGAATCAGAACTTGTTCTTGGTTGAGGTGCATATCTCTGAATACACATTTCAGTACATGAACTGGAAATATTGTCCTCTCCAATAACAGAACCAACCATTGCCAAATCAGAAGCAGTTGTAGTTGGGTAAGTTGGTAAAGCATCACATCCAATAGAATTGAACATTATTGCATTCGTTGGGAGGAAAGTAGTAACATTTCGATTGGAAGAAGTTGGCACCCACGTATCCAAAGAAAAACTTTGATACCAATTGGCTGTAGCTGTTGGAGGAAGGCCCTTCTTATAGCACACAAACTGGATGTGGATTTTTTGGTTGCAAGTATTGAAAATCATGGAACCATGTTCCCAACTGGAAAATCTTCCGATGCATTGTTGGGCATTATCTAAATTACACACTGTGGTCAACTGTTTTTTTGAGTGGGCTTGTTGGGAGAGGAGGAGAAGGCAGGAGAAGAGTAGGAGAATAATGTTGTGAATTGTTGCCATTTTTTTTGTAGAAATATCTCCATTTCCAGATTTAACTGCTCATTGTAAAGAGTTGTAAAAACAAATAATTGTAACTGAGAGTGTTATTTATTGTTAAAAAAATATTATTTTAAAGGCATTAATTTGTGGATTTAATGAAACATTAAAATATTCATTCTTAAATCTCAGATCTAGTACATTGGTTCAAGGTATTTTTAATAAACTCTAATTTAATGAATTCATTTTTATATTTACTTATAAAATGAATATCTTTCCAATTGATGTGAAAGGTCACTATTCGAAACATTTCGAATAAACAAATATTAATCACTATCTTCATCGCTGGTACTATCCTCATCAACTTCTGAATCAAAGAATAATTGTTTGATTTTTGAGTATCTCTTGAAACTCGCCAGAAATGATATCGCCTTCTCATTTGTTTGATTATCACTTAAATCAAGATAGGTTAAATATTCCAATTTTTCACAAATTTCTTTGAATCCCTCATAGATAATTTCGTTTCCGCGAATGTCAAGGTAGGTCAATTGGCTCAATTGGCTAATTGAGGAAGCAAACTTGTCAGTAAGATCATTCTCACTGATATTAAGCTTAGTTAATTGTTTCAAGTTTGTTATACATTTAAAAGAGTTTCCAAAATAATTATCACTAATATCAAGTGATCTTAATTGTGTCATTTCACTGATAAGTTTTGTTGTTTTGGAACTATCAATTCCATTCGAATGGATGTCTAGAGTTACTAGACGTGATAAACTACTTAGATATTTTACACCTTTTCCTTTAATCCCATTGTCATAGATGGAAAGGAAATTCAATCTTTGCAATCTTCCAATATATTTCAATCCTTTATCTTTAATTCTATTACTACCAACTGCAAGATGTGTTAAATGTTCAAGTTCACCAATACATTTGACACCTTCTTTTCCTATTTGGTTATTGTTAATACTGAGATGAGTTAAATGTTTCAAATCTTTGATCAATTTAGCTCCATCAGAATTAATTTGATTACCATTTGCTTTGAGTATTCTGAGTTTTTCAAGCTTACAGATCAATCCTAATTCATCAGTTCCAATATTATTGAAAGAAATGTCAATTGCTGTTAACTGTTCCATTTCAGAAATGAATTTGATTTTTTCAATATCCAATACAGTTTGCATAATGTTTAAATCTGTCAAATTTTTCATTCTACTGATCAATTCAAAACCTTTTGTGCTGATGGTCATTGAATGAACACTTAACTTATTCAATAGAGATTTTTCACTAATTATTCCAATTCCACGTTCAGTAATATCACTATTTAAACTGACATCTAACTCTTTCAATGTATCCCAATTACCAATTGTTGCAATATATTCATCTGACAAGTGCTTATTACTAATATCAAGCGATGTCAAATATTTCAATTCTCCAAAATTTAAATTAAAAGGTGAGAAAATTACATATCCACCATTCTGCGAAATTCTTCTCAAATTCTTCATCTTTAGTAGAACATTTTGAAAATTCATCGCAGTCACTAGAGGAAAATGTGAATTCCAAATACGTTCCAAAAATTGACTCTTTCCAATCGAAACGAGTCTATCATGTGAAATATTCTCATCAAACTTTAACGAAAGTTCAGCTCTTTCTCTAATTACATTCAACCACTGTTTTGATACCAACGTACAAGTTTGTAAAACAAACCAAGAATTTAGAAAGGAAAAAATTTCAACACAAATATCATCAATTAATAATTCTATTAAAAATTTCAATTAAATAGAATTCAACAATTTCATGATCATTATTCATCATCGGATTATAATTCATATAAATAATATATTATAATCATCATCAAATCATGAAATCATCGGAATAATTTATCATGATGATTTTGGAAAATTACCTTTGAATCGCTCATGGAGGAGTGTTGAAGTTTGACAATTTTTTTTCAAAGCATTTTCTGGAAGGAAGCTAAAGAAGCCTTCTCGATTTCGTTTCATTTTTTTTGTAAAGGAATTTCTAATATTTATTTAGGGTTTCGTCTGGAACAAAAGCACATTTATTTCAATTATCTAGTAGTTGAATTGATCTCATCAACTTTTCGTTGGAAATGTGAATAGTAATCATTGTAGTGAAATTCGAAATTGAAAAAAATAAAAGAAATATATGAATAATTATCTGCCCTCGGAATTGATCAGTGAAATTTTCTCGTACCTTTCCTTTCCAACTTTATTTAATTGGTTTCTTCAAGACAATTTCACCACACTTTTTAAACTCATTCAACCAGAACTCATCATGCTACGATTTATTAATCAAATAGAGGAAATTGTTGCGAATGAACCTCCCATTACAGGAAGAAGAAGAAGAAGAAACAATCATCGTGGGAAAGGAGAGGTCATTTTACCACATATTTCATTGCATTACCCAAAGGAGAGTTTGAATATTCTGTTGGGAAGTGTCAAGTCATATTTGATGGATCATTGTTTTAGTTCTTCATTAGATTTGAATAAGAGAAGACAAATGATTCGTCAATTTCACATTCATAGAGCTAATATAATGAACAGCTATCACATGAATTTGATAAAATGCATGAAGAAAACAGGAAAGTTCAATAATTGGAAAGAAACATTGAACATTATTCGAAAGTCCATTCTCACATTATACAGATATAGTGGTATTAAATTTTCAGCTCAATGGAAATATGATATTCATTACAATATCTTACCACAGATTGAACACAATGCTTGTTGCTATGTGCAAATTAATAGACCAACATCAATTGAATCAACTTTGGATTTACTATTTGACTATAATGAAATGGCCACTGTATTGAATATTAATCACAAATGGATGTCAACTAGGGAGAATATCTTTTTTCACACCAACAGAAAACCAAAATTTGTAGAAAGAGCATTATTTGGTTATTGGGAGTTTTTACCAACAGATTTATCAATATATAGAAATGCTATTATATTTTATGAGAATCTAAACAAGTTGAATATATTTGAGAGATGTATTGAGCACTTTACAAAGTGTAATTTGAAATATTTCAAAAATGCTTTTGATAATGAACATTTTGACAAGTTTTATGCACTGTTTGAATATTTGAAAACATTTCATAGAAAGGGAAGAGTTTATGATGAACAATTTGGTGAAAATTTGAATGGATTTTTGAGTCACATTTCCAAAGTGGAATGTTCTACAAATAATAGAGAAAAGCTGAAAGATTTGTTAATATTTCAAGAATTATTGGTGGAATAATTGTTGGAATGGACGAAATTTTCATCCTCAGGTAGGTTGGTCTTATCCTTTCATTCAGATCAAACTTATCCAATCATCATTATAGACTCTTTTGATTAACCTTTTATGTTTTTTTTTAATATAATTCTATTATATATAATCTTGCTTCATAATTAACTATTAACTATTTATTTAAATTAAATTAATGGGTAAAATGAAGAGCAAATATTCCAAAGATACCTTACCTACTCTCACTAAGACATGCCTGATGTTGTTATTAAGAATAAGGGCTCATCTAATTGTCGCTATAGTTCATCAAACAGTCAAACCACAAGTTCCTTATTGTTGTTGTTCCAAAATATTTTGGCGCTCAATCAGCAACCATCAACTTATCCAATATGTAACAAACCTAAAAAAAAAGATAATACACCATCTCTCACTCCATGCCTACTACGATACGGAATGTTGTTGAGAAAGGAACCTTATTGTGTATTATATGAAAATGTATTTATTATTGTATTGGTACTATTACTATTAGGATGTTTATCGACGGAAGGATACTATCAGGAATGTAAAAGTTGTTTGGATGATGAAGGTGGTATTTGGTGTGCTCTCTCACAGACGTGTGTCTCATCTGAGATGGAGTGCTCAAGTCCTTTTTCTTCTTATACAACATCATCAATGTCCTTTTCTTCTGTGAATTGGTTAATACCAACAAAGAATGTATATAATACAACCTCAACACCAGTTGGGAATATAATATCTAATTTATTTACGGGTAAGGATGCAGCCCAGAATAGTACAATGTACAAACTGCCCAGCTATTGTTATACAGGTATAATTACAAACTCTAGTCAATGCTCAAATATCAAATTGGAAATACATAGAACTTATTCGAGTAGTGTGAGAAACTTAGTGTTTCCCATATGGTTTCAACCTCATCTTAAATTCATAAATGAAACCCATCTAAACTATAAATTGAGCCAGATGAGGAAATCCTATCAGATAGGATATTTCTTTGCTCCTATATTTCCGATTCAATCTAGGAATGATTCATTTCTCAATAGTACGGATAATGGAGCTACTCTGAATACACTTTGGAATAATATCAAATCAAATAATTACAGTGACAAAATCTCTAGCCTATCCTATCTATCAGGATATAGCAATACTTCTTCCATGTTTTCTTACTTATTTCATGTTTTTAACACACAAAATGCTGAATTTTTCTTTGGTGAACAGAATTGGTTTAGATTCCTGGATTTATCTATTGCTGCCACCTCAAATAAGTATTATAGGATGGGGTTTTCATTGGCAGTTCCAAGATCAGATTTATCTGAATTCAGTTATGCTTCTGATAACCCTCTGGAAGAAACTGATCCTGACCTTTTTGGTTCTCAGTATCAATGTACTTTTGTTCTGGCAGATCAAATAGTTTATGCGGAGGGCTATTGGGTTTTCACCGTCTCTGGAGCACATATTTACCTAAGTATTGCTGTAATTGTTGTAATAGGAATAATGACAACTCTAGTACTGTGTTTTAATACGAGATTGTATGAGGAAGATATGGAAACAAATTTTACAAGACATTTCGATATGAAAAAGACACCAGTGCCAGCAGAAAAACCAATGTTTTTTCACAAATTAGCCAGGCTTTATGACATGGCTAGAGCCTTTGTGCTGGCAAATGATAATGATATTGCTAAGGAAGTTGGGTCAGAGTCATATTACTATTTTTGGTTTATGAGATTTATTATTGTTTATTTATTTATTTGTGGAGCCTACTCTATTATCTTTCTTGTTCCATATTTGCCTCCCAAGCTCCACCTTGGATTCCATTCATGGATATTTCAAAATATACAGCAGCCACCTTAACATCTGGAAGGCAAGAACACGTATTCTTGATATTTGTAATTATCAACAGTTTTTTAGCTTGTTTGTTGGGAGCATTTCTACTCTATGCACTCAAACATGAATCTAGAGTGTTTGTCACAGACAAGGTTATCACAGATGAAAAGGCACTCTCGGCAACAATTCGTCATTTTGGTCACCTTTACACTTTGATGGTAAAGAATATTCCAAAGGAGATAACAGCTAAGGAGGAGTTAGGAGAACTATTCAATGAAGAGATCCTTCTTGGAAAATACAGAACTGACGATGAATGGAAAGAACATTATGTATGTCATGTTGCTGTAAATCTTAATCATCTTACAGAATTAGAAAAAGCTCTTGCTAAAGTTGAAAAGAAGCTAGAAAATATCAAACCTGATAAACCACCTACTACTGGCTGTCTTGCAAAATGTACATCAAGAGAAGATCAATTAATATTGGAAAGGGATCAGATAACTGAAAAGATTAATACAATTAAGAAAAAGTACTATGTAAATGAATCGATGGAGAATGACGCATTTTTAACTACTGGAGCTTTTAATACCAACGATCCTACAGATGTGTATGGGACTGGATATGGATTTGTAACATTTTTTTCAATGGATGAAGCCAAAGAGGTGCTAAGAAACTTTAACGCTTCTAGATCTAAAGTAACTCAATGGATGGAATATTTGATACCTTTTTATGAAGACAAAGAAATTGTCGTAACAGCAGCTGTTCCACCCGACGATGTGATTTTTGAGAACTTTAGTGTAAGCCACAAGAAGAGAAAATTAAGGCTGATAGGTATTAATTTGGGACTGTTTTGTGCTATGCTTTTGGTATTCTTTATTCTTGGAGTGGGAAGTGTTTCACAATGGGCTAAACAGGAATTTTTAACATTTGTTATTGATTTTGCTGAGAGTTTGCAAGTTGCTGGAATGGTTGATCTGTTTAGAATCTTGGTGGATTTGTTAATGGAGGTACCTGGATTGTTCATGGAATTGCTAAAACTTGTAGTGGTGTTAGGAGCAAATGCTGTAGGTTACTTTTCCAAGACTCATTACTCATTGTACGTCTCTGAAAAGATGTTCTTCTTTATGCTTTCTGCTACACTTGTCTTTCCATATTTTACCAAATATTTCTTCCTCAATACCATTATGGCATTCAGTAACTATGTGTCTCACTATCCTCAATTCAACAATTTGGTTGTCTATTTTGAATTTTTCGGATTGGACATTATCAATATTCTATTTATTTTTTCATTCATTGCAAAAACCATTGAGTATTCCATTCAATTAGTTTCAACAGTCATCACTCTTTCTATCAATAAGAAAATGGCAAGAATGCCTTTTGATTATGAGGTGAATTATGGTTTTAAATCTGCCCTACTCATCCTGATAGCCTTTTATGGTTCAGTTGCTCCCTTTGTGTACTTGGCAGGATTAGTGTTTTTCGTATTTTCTTACATACTAGAAAGACACTTAATAATGTT